TCTCTCTCATTCTGTCTCAAATAAATAAATAAAATCTTTAAAAAAATAAATAAATAAAGCCACCAAGTTTGTGGTCATTGGTTACGGCAGCCCTAGAAAACTATTACAGGTACCGTATGGGGCCGAGGGCAGGACGTGGCAAAGGATGAGATAACGAGAAGAGATAGGGTCAGACAGAGGAAGGAAAGACAGCAAAATGGAGAGACAGACACAGGATGCAGGACCCCCATCTTGGAGGCTGCCTGAGTCCCGGCGGCCCACAGCAGAGGCCGCCCTGAGGCCACCCTGGAGGAGGCATCCCCCCCCAGGCACACGCACCTCAATGGAGTTCCTCCCGGGGTGCTCAGCGGCTAGCAGCTGGTCACCCTCGCTGTGCAGCTTGTTAATTCTCTCCTCTTTGGCCTCCAGGTTCCGGTTGATGAAATTCTGCAGAGGGGACAGTGGAGGGGGCTCAGCGCCCAGTGGACAGCCCTGTGCTCCCTGCCAGCCCCGCCCCCGATGCCCCAGGCCCCCCCGGCCCACCTCGTACTGGCGCCGGCGGCTCGGGTAGTCGAGGTTGCGGTCACTCCAGTCGTACTGCATGCGGCCCTTGGCCTGCTGGTCCAGCCAGTACAGCTCGTTGGTGCAGCGCTGCATGTAATCCTGCAGCGTGCTCAGGTGCTGCTGCCGAGCCTGGGATGCTGCCTGCAGGGGCGCGGGCGGGAGGGCAAGGACAGGGCTGAGGCCTCCCTCTACCCCTCCCCTCGGGCTGGCTCTGGCCGGTGTGCGGACAAGCCTAGCTCCACACTTCCTGGCTGGACCCCCTTGGACAAATCATCTGACCCTCCGAAGTGCATTCATTCATGCAGCAACCGTCTATGGTGCAAGTACTAAGTGCTGGGCTCTGCTCCAGGCTCTGGGCATACACCAGTGAGCCAGACAGACAGAACCCGCATGGAACGGACTTTCTCGTGGAGCCTCGAGTTTGCTCATGCACAAAACGGGGATGACAACAGCACTGGTCTCATAGGTACAACGACTGTCAAACGGGCGCCTGGGTGGCTCAGTTGGTTAAGTGTCTGCCTTCAGCTCAGGTCGTGATCCCGGGGTCCTGGGATGGAGTCCCGCATCGGAATCCCTGCTCCGCGGGGAGCCTGCTTCTCCCTCTGCCTGCCATTCCCCCTGCTTGTGCTCTCTGTGTGTCAAATAAATAAATAAAATCTTAAAAAAAAAAAAAAAGGCTGCCAAACAGTTGGTGCTCAATAAATGTGAGCAGCTAGAGTTCCACTTTTGCCTTTATCACGATCCCCGTACAGAGGTTAGGAGCACAGTAGCAAAGTGCTACCGCGTTATGGGTGAGAGGTGCTGGGTGCGGGGCAGGGAGGAGCAGAGGGAGCAGGGACGCTCGCCTTTGCAAACACGAACAGGAGTGTGCCAGGACTGTGCTGGGCACTTCTCCCGCGTCAGCGGTCCTAGGAGACAAGGCCTCGAAGGCACTCCACTGTACAGGTCGGGAAACTGAGGGTCTGAGAGGCTATGGAGCTCGCTCAGGGTGTCCCCGCCAATGAGGGATGGAGACATCTGGCTCCAGAGACTGTGCTTCTCTCACCTGAGAGGTCTGAACCGGCCGCAGCAAGGAAGCATTTAGGCATTCACAGTGCTTTTAAAAAGAACATATTTCTTAAAGGTTTTGAAAAGGGAAATAGAAAACTTTTGCTTATAAAGCGCATGGCATTGTATCTGGCACACAGAAGGTGCTTAGTAAAGAAAAAGCCAACTGCAGGACGGGCTGTATCCAGGGGACCTGTTAGGGTTTTCCACAAGCAGAGAGCAAACTGGGACGCCTCTCAGGTGGGGGCTCAGGGTACGATCTTCCCACTCAACCCCTTTCATTCTGTTTGAAACGCTCACTGCACACGTTTCCTGTGCCCACACTCCTGGCTTCCCACCCCCTCCCAGCCCATTCCCGGGGTGGGGGTGGGGGGGCTTCTCACCAGCAGTTTCTGGTACTTGGCCTGGAGTTCGCTGTCCGGCTCCTGCGGACAGAGCCGGGGACACGGGTCAGGGCGGGGCTGCAGGTGTGAGCCCCTCCTCCCCCGGGGCCAGGCCTGCTCCACCACCACGCGCACCTTGCCCCCATCCTTAGCCAGGTGGGGCCCGATGGCCTTGACCTCATTGTGGAAGATATTGTGCTGCTCGACCTGGTGGTCCACCAGCGGCAGGTCCGTCCCGAAGCTCTGGCCTCTCAGTTTGTCCTGGGAGGGTGGGCAGAGAGATGACCCACAGAGTGTGGGCTAGGGCCTGGGACTCACAGCCCACCCACACATAAGAACCAAGGAGGGAGCCAAGGGGAGCCAGAAGAGACGTGGGGAGTGACGGTCACCTTTACCACCATCGTACCTACACGTGTCAGCTCACTCAATTTCACTGTAACCTCAGAGTACCCCACGGTTGTCATTTCCATTTCACAGATGGGGAAACAGAGGCCTGGTCAGGGGAGTGGTTGCCCAGGTCACAGCACTAAGAGAGGACTGCTGGCTCCAGCAGCTGCCCTTCCCCGTGGTGGAGACAGGCCAGTGAGGGCAGAGGAAGGGCATCGGGCCACTCCTCCGAGCCTGCCCGGGACCCCAACAACCAGGGTTGGAGAGCAATCCCAGGAGGGTCCCAGTCTCCACCACGTCTGCTGGGTGACACTGGGCTAGGTGCTACACCTCTCTGAGCCTTGCTGTCCTCACTGACGCAGCCATTGGGAAACGTCAGGAACATGACCCTCTGCGAGGCAGGACCGTGGTACCCATGAAATGGCGGGGTCCTCCCTGCACACAGCTGAAGCCAGGGCCATACCAGCTTTTCATCCACCAGCGCTGCCCAGTTGACCTGCGGGTCTACCTCCTTCACCACCAAGTTGTAGATCTGCTTGTGTTTCCCACGGAGGCTGGTCACGCGCTCCTTCAGCTGACGGATGCTGAGTGGGGAGAGTGGCCATCCTGGTTAGGGGGGCCAGTTGGCAGGCCCACTGCCCACGCCCGTTCCCCCAGGAGGGGCCTCCCACCCCAGACACTGGCCTGGGGCTTTCTGCTCAGGAGCCTGGAAGGACAGGGAGACCGGGGCTTTGGGTTCCAGACAATCACTACCATCCTCCCTTACCCTTCCTTCCTCTATCGATGTTTTCCCAGGAGAAGGTTCTGGAAGAAACAGGCAGGTCCACTGCTCTCTGGAGCCTGCCACTGAGCAGGAACCACAGGGGTGGTGTGGGCCATGACAGGAACAGGGCAAGGACTCATGGGGCACCCTGAGACCCTTGCCCCTGCCAGGGTGGGGGGTGCAGAACCAGGCGGGAGGCATTTTGGGTGCCAGTTTATCCACATCTGAGCTGAGGGGAGAGCCATGAGCATAGGAAGCTGGCTGGGCATCAGGGAGTGGGAGGCCATGCTCAAAAGCTTGGAGGTCAGACAGCACGATGGTCAGGGACCTGTGGTCACACTATGACCAGAACAGGGGACATTAGTGCTGAGCCTCAGTTTCCCTGACTACAAAATGGGTCGTCATGAGAATAACATAAAGCGTTTGGCATGTGTCTAGCATCTAGTTAGCCTTCAATAAACTCTGAGTTGGGCTCCAGAATGCTGAGCAGTCTACAGCCCTCCTGCCCCATCCCAGGAACCTGGAGCAGAGGGGACCTACTCCTCGGCAATCATGTCTCCTTGGGGATGCTTCATGTGCTTGGCAATGGCCGCATCTGCCTCTAGCACATACAGCAGCTTCTCTGAGTCTGACACCTTCTGCAGGGTCACGTCCCGGTGCTCGGGCTGTCGGCCCTCCTGCAGCCGGGCCAGGTCCTGTGAGAGTCAAGACAGAAAGGGGGATCGAGGATGGGGACTCCACGGGCACTGTGGGGGTGGGAGGGGTGGGAAGAGAGGGCCAGCAAGGGGCTCCCAGTCCCACCTAGCCTCTCCTCCGCCTCTCAACAAACAGCCCAGGTACCTATGTGTGGGGGCTCTGGGACACACCTTCAAATGAAGAGGCATGGCCCTGCCCAGCCCAGTCAGATAAATAGATAAACCTCACAAAGGTGATTACAAGTTCATACAAGTCGGTGTTTACCAAGGAAACACACCAGAGGTGGAACAACAGGGACCTGCTTCAGATCTGGTGGTCAGTGAGCCCCTGTGGAGGCGGTGACACCAGCTAAGAACTAAGGATGAAAGAAAAGAGTGTTCTAAGCAGAAGGAAAGCCTGTGCAAAGGCCCTGAGGCAGGAAGGCTGGCTGGGGGAGGAAGTGCAAGAGGTGCAAGGCAAAGGGGCCCCATCTGTCCTTAAAGGCAAATGCCTCAGGGCTCTACGGGACAAGGGCACGGCCTCGAGGGCAGTCAGCACTTGTGACAGGGCCGGGGGTGGCGGGGGGGAGCGGACGGTGGCCCATCTGGGGTGGCACCTGCAGAAATGGTTGAGAGTCAACAGAGTGGGTGGATATTTGGGAGGCACGGTCAGTGTTGCTGATGAGCCCAGGGTCTCTGCTTGTTTAGGGAAGAACAATGAACTATGAACTGGCAGCCAGGACAGCAGGTATCTACACACAGTCTGTTCGCTCACTCAGACAACATTCCTGAGGCCCAGCCGCACACCGTGCGGGGCCCTGGAGACCCCAGGCCAGTGGGGGAGGCGAGGACAGGCCGGGGACTGGGCTGAAGACAGACCATGGAGGTAATACGGGGGGCCAGGAGGAGCCAGCGCCCACCCCCACTGGGTCTCAGCGTCCCCATCACTGCCATGAGAACAAGGAAGAGGCACCCAAGCGACCCCAGTGCAGGGTTCCACCATGTCCTAATCCAGAGAGACAGGAAGCAGATGCGTGGCTGCCAGCGAGTCGGGTGGAATTAGGAACAGTACATGAGCACAGGGGTTCTTACTAGGGGATGAAAATGTTCAGAAACCCATTTATGGAAACAGCTGTGCCACTCGGTGAAGTTACTAAAACTCACTGCATTGTCCACTTGAGGTGGGAGCTTCTTGTGATATGTACAATACACCTCAATACACCTGTTACAAGAGCGAAAAGAAGTTAACGAGGTGATGTGCTTCCTGGTCCAGAGGAGAGAGCAGACTTCCCCTCGGAAGAAGAAAAGGCGTTCAGCCCACCCGTCCCTGGCCAACTCCAGGGAGGCTGAGGGGCAAGTGGGGCCCGGCGCCCTGAGGGGCTTGGAGGTGAAGCCCGGGGGGGCTGTGCCATCTCTCCACCCCTGTGTGGATCTGGCCAATGGGGGGAAAAATACGACAAAACATCATGGTTCTTGGCTTGGGTGGAACATTATCCGCTCCATTGTTTCCAGCTGATCTGCAGCTCTCTTGGGCAGGTACAGTGTCAAAGACTAATTTTGCAAAAGGGGGAAGTAAATTAATCATTACCTCATTCATGCAAGTGCTGTGTGGGAATGCAAGCCCTCTTGAAACATGCTAGCTGAGATGAGAAAAAGAACATCTAGCTGAGAGATGCCGCGTTCAAGGGTTCACAGTCAGGCAAAACAGATAGATGGAGAGAGAGGTTAGCGTAGTGGTTACTCTGGGGGGTATGGATTGGCAAGGTCACGAGCCAGCTTTCTGGGAAATGTTCTCTATCTTGACCTGAGCAGTGGTTACGTGGGCGCCTATGGATGAAAAGGCCCTTAAAATGTGGACACTTTCTATATACCTTACAGAATTTATACCTCCAGTAAAAGGATTTTACAAGTAAAAACAAATCATAGGGACTGATGTAGCTAATAAACTACACGCATGCTGACAGGCGGATGAGTGATAAAGCAAATCCAGCAGCTGTTACTGGTGGAATCTGGGGGATAGGGACATGGATGTTCTCTGTGAAACTCTTTTTTTTTTTTTTTTTAAGATTTTTATTTATTCGAGACACAGAGATACAGAGAGAGAAAGAGCTCGAGCAGGGGTAGAGGCAGAGGGAGAAGCAGGCTCCCCGCTGAGCCAGGAGCCCGATGCAGGGCTCGATTCCAGGATTCTGGGATCATGACCTGAGCCAAAGGCAGACGCCCGACCATCTGAGCCACCCAGATGCCCCATCTCTGTGGAATTCTTTCAACTTTTCTGCACGTTTAAAAATTTGGATAGACAGAGAAGGTCATATATTGTACGATTTGGTTTATATGAAACATGCAGAAGTAAATCCATAGGCACAGAAAGCAGATTAGGGTTTCCGGGGGCTGCAGGGAGGGACTGCTGTTGGGCATGAGGTTCCCTTTGGGGGAATGGAAATGTCTTGGCACTAGAAGGAGGTGGTGGGTGACCAACACTGTGAACAGCGTACAGGCCACTGACTTGCACGCTTTAGGTGGTTAATCTTATGTTATGCGAACCTCGCTTCAATTTAAGAAAACAGGAACATTCAAGAGAACTTTTGGGTAATAAAATGAACAGTGACATCTTCCGAGAAATGAAGGAGATGGAAGGAAAAAAAAGAAAGCAGAAGATTAGTCCATATGGTCGTCAAAGCACGGTTTCTATTTTCAGGTTTGTTCATCTGAAGTTAAAAAACAGTTCAAAATGATCCCCCAAGTACATGCTTGTTACTGTGAGCCATTACTCTAAGCAAATAAAAATGAGAGCTCAAGACCCTATTATCTCTCTTTTCTCACACACACACACACACGCACACACATGCACGCACACAGGAAAGGGTCAAACAGATACACCAAAAGGTTAATAGTCGATCCATCTCTCTGGTGGTGGAATTATACAGGATTTCAATTTGCTTCATTATACGTTGTTTATCAGTCCTGAAAGATTTGTAACAAACCCATATTACTTTCATTAGGACAAAAACGGACACACCCAAAAAGCTGTTTTCATTTAGGAAAGAAAATAGCACGGCGCCCTGTGACAAGGGGACTGAAAACTCCGCGGAGGAGCTGGGACAAGGCGGCGGCCCGAGGGACAAGCTGCGGGGCTGGCGAGGCACTGAGGCAGGTAGAGGCTGGTAGAAGGGCAGGAGGGGGCAGGAAAGGAGCCGGGGGAGGGCCCCTGGCAGGAACAGAGAGAGCGCCACTCGCCTTCCCTGCTCTTTCCCACACCTCCGTTCCTCACTGCCTCCTGTGCCATCCCCAGCGCATCCCGTCCCTCAGCTGTCTGGGCTGCCTGTGGCCTGGCCCCCCGGGCCGGTGGACACCAGCGTGGGCAGGGGGAGGGGCAGCCACGGCTGGGCCAGGGAGGACAGGCTCATGACCTGTCCACCTTCTGTCCCCCACTCCTCTGGACCCGCCTCTTGGTCACCTCCTGGGTAGGAATGCATATGAAATACAGACCGTCAGTTAAGTTCAAATTTCAGACAAACAATGGATCACTTTGTGGTATAAGTATATCTCAAACAGTACATGGGATATACTTCTATGGAAAAAGAATTGTGCTCTGAAAGTCAAATTTAACTGCATATCCTGTATTTTTATTTGCTAAATCTGGCAACCCCGCCTCTGGGATGCTTCTGGGGCTACTCTGTCACGGATGAGTCACCTTGCACTCTCTGAACCTCAGTCTCTCCAGCTACAAAATGGGTATAAGCTCAACTGCACTGGGCTGGTGCCTCCAGCAGGGGGATGATCATCCTGGCAGCTCACAGGTATCCCGCATGGTATAGATTCCTCAGGAGAACCTGCTGCTCAGAGAGGTTGTTAGCTCATGTCACAGAAGAGCAAAGGGCGACACAGAGAGGCAACATGATTTGCCTAGCTACTTTCTCTCTCTTCTCTGTCAAAGGAGGATCGTATGCATCTGAGCAATGGCAGGGGAAGTACAAGAAGAAAGAGGATATCGATGGTAATACCAAGCCCTACAATACACCTGCATAATCTCACTGAATCTTTACAGCAGCCCAGGGGATGTGGATGATCGCTTTTACCCTGTCAGAGGGAATCACTTGCACAGAGAGGTAAGGTGACTTGCCTAAAGTCACACAGTAAATGGCAAAGCTGGGATACAAGACCTGGTTCCTGAGACCACGGTTTTCCTCCAGACAGGGTCCATAAGCTGCAGGAACTTAGCCCCCAGGGTGGGGGGCTGACATTAACAGCAATAATGAGGTTTCTCCATCTCAGCACTACTGACATTTGGGGCTGGATCATTTGGTGTGGGGGGGTGGGCATCCTATGCCCTGTAGGGTGTTTATCAGCATCCCTGGCCTCTACCCACTAGATGCCTATCCACCCCACTACCCCAGTTGTGACGGCTAAAAATGTCTCTAGATGTGGCCACATGTTCCCCGGGGGTGGGCAGAACCCACCCCCCTCCCCAGCAAGAACCCTTGGTCGGGCAAGACCCTGGTCCGCAATGGGGCTGGCCGCACGGGGGGGCACTCACGCTCTGCATCTTGGCCTCCGTGTCCACGATGTTCTTCTCCACCTGGTCGGCATTTTTCTGCAGCTGCTCGATCAGCTCCGACAAGTCCTTGTTAGAGATGCTGCAGACAGAAGATAGGAGGTGGGCTGGGCCTGCAGGGTGTGCCATGTCCCCACCAGCCTCAGAGGGAGCCTGGCGGCCCACCCTGTCTCCTGCCCCTGCCCTGGGGCGACATCACCAAAGCCACAGAAACAAGGCAGCTTGGAGCGAGAGTTTCTAGTTTTCCATTTTGGCAGAACACCTTTACTATGTTCTTTTTTTTTTTTTCTTCCGTTTTTATGGAGATATAATTCACATACTATAAAATTCACCCTTTTAAAGCCTATAACTCAGTGGGTTTTAGTGTATTCACAAGGTTATACTGATGGGTATCTGGCCCTGCCTCTGTTGTTGCTTTCTTTCAATAAAAGAAGACACAAAGACCAGAGAGGGAACGCAACTTGGCCAATGTCACCCAGCCAGCCAGTAATGGTCAAGATTAGCACCTAAGGGGCGCCTGGGTGGCTCAGATGGTTAAGTGTCTGCCTTCGGCTAAGGTCACGATCTTGGGGTCCTGGGATCGAGCGCCGCATCAAGCTCCCTGCTTAGCGGGGAGTCTGCTTCTTCCTCTACCACTCCCTCTATGCTCTCCTTCTGTGCTTGCTCTCTCTCTCACTATCTTTCAGGTAAATAAATAAAATCTTAAAAAAAATTAGCACCTAATTCTCCAACCTCCATTGAAAACCCTTTTGTACTGACTCCACAGTAGAGCCCAAGCAGCCAAGCACCCAGAGGGTTATTCCACCTGCACTCATTAAGCACCTACTATTTGCCAGGTCCAGCAGTGCACACAGAAAAAGCCTCACCCTCTGACTCGTCACCCCCTAGATGGGGAGGAAATCAGCATTTACAGAAATAGTCACACGATTGAGACAGGCATGGAGGCTAGGGTTGCCCAGAGGAGCCTCCTGGCTGGCTGGGTGGGAATGGGATTGGTCACTGAACGCTTCCTGGAGGAGGTGGTGGTGGCTAGGTTCTGGAGGATAAGGAAGAGTTTGGGGTTCACGGGCAGAAGGCTTCAAGGGAAGAGGCCACAAAAAAGGTGGGTTCTGGGCATGTCCGTTGGAGGGGGGGCCAGGGCAGGGCTCTGGATCCTCAGGCTGAGGGGGCCACCACCTCTTCACACTGGAATTCCTCAGATCAAGGCCTGGGACCACCTCTTGGGGCATGAAACATTCAGATTCCCAGGCATTAACCCAGACCCTCTGGATCTGAATCTCCAAAGCTAGGCCCAGGAAGCTGTATTATTATTATTGCTCTTGTTATTACAGGTTCTCCAGGGGACCCTGATCCCCTGTGGAGTTTGAGGTCCAACACTGCAGGTACTGCTGGTATGGGGAGGGGCGGGTGTCGGCGGGGGGGGGGGCAGAATCGGGCACAGTGAACAGAACCTGTGAGTCTGTCCATCCATGTCTCAAACCGCGCCCGAGAGCCTGCTCTGTGCCAGGCCTGGATGCACAGGAGCTAAGGAGGGGAGAGAAACAAGACCCAGGCTGCACCCTCTGCCAAGTCAATCAAGGAGGCAGCCTTTCCCAAAGTGGGTCCCAGGAACCCCAGTCCTGTAAGTCATTCCCAGAATGAAGGCTTGTGAGTCCAGGCAGCTAGGAAAACCTGGACCCTTGAGAACTCTATGAGCCAGTAAAGGCTCTGAGCAGTCCTGCAGTGTAGAAAGCTGGTATTCAGTTGGAGGGGCAAGGAAGGCTCAGAAGAAGGGACTGTGGCTGGGCTGTCAGGGCATGGACTGAGCCCACAGCCCCCACCCTGGCTGGTCAGACCACATGGGGAACAGGCCCCTCCCCTCCACCAAACCACTGACTCTCAGCCTGGCCTGCTGCACTCAGATGTAGCGAGTCTTAAACCAAATATTTAACCCATGGCTGCTCATGTGTCAACAGGAGCCTGCAGTGTGGATCAAGTGGGGGGCTTTGGCTCGGCCCAGCCCCACCTCAGGACATGGGACCAGCTCCCAAGCCAGCCCCTTCACTGGGTGGGCAGTATGAGGAAAGCACCTTCTGGCCCCCCACCTTGGCTGGCGGATTATTCCAGCCAAAGCCCAGCACCAGAAAGGGGACAAAGGATGTGGGTGGAACAGCCAGTCTCAGGAACCTGGTGCTCCTGGCAGAGGATGAAGGAGGGTTCCGTGGGAACTTCTGGCCAGACAGGCATGGGTTCCAAGTGCAGTGGGGCCATTTGCTGCGTGGACCATCTCAGGCAAGCACCATACCTCAGTTTCTCCATTGGTCTACAAGGGATGCCCACCAAGGCATCATGGTAATTTGACGCTTCCTGCACATGCTTCACCAGACATCAGACATGTTCATAGGCACTGCCTCAACAACATCCTCACCCTAAGCCCTGGGGGAGGGCTGTGTACTCCTTTACAGAGAGTTTATAGGAAACCAAGGCTCAGAGACGTCAAGATGCTTGTCCAGCGTCAGACACCTTGTGAATGGGGCACCTGGACTCTGCTCAGGCAGTCTTGCTCCAGAGGCCACTTTGTCAAATACTGCACTCACAGCTACTCATAGGGGTGTTGGGAAAATCACAAGCACATGTATAGCAACCACCACCATCACCAGAATAGTATGAGCTTGTATTTACTTTCCACATGCCAGTCTCTCTGCTCATTTCTTATTCTTCATTACAATCCTGTGAGGTAGGTGTTGGCCCAGTGGGTCATCATATTATTGTCCCCACTTTACAGATGTGGAAATGGAGGACCAGAGAGTTTTAGTAACTTTCGCAAAGTTACACAGTAATTAAATGTTAGAGCCAGAATTCCAACCCAGGCAGGCCCCCAAGTTCATGCCATTAGCAACCCCATGTGACAATCCTGCACGGCTCCCAACACATCCTAGGCATGGACTGCCAAGTGCCCTAGACCACAATGAGATACCACTTCTCACCCACCAGGATGGCGATAATCAAAAAGACAGACCATAATGATTTGGTAACAAGGATAGGAGAAATCAGAACCCTCACTCACAGTAGGTGGGAACTGTAAAATGGTGCAGCAGCTTTGGAAAGCAGTCTGGAAGGTCCCCAAAAAGTTAAGCATAAAGTTGCCACATGACCCAGTAATTCCACTTCTAAGTATCTACCCAAGAAAAATGAAAACATAGGCCCACACAAAAACTTGAACGAAACACAAGTGTTCCTAACAGCACTACTTACAATAGCCAAAAAGTGGAAACAACGCAAGTGTTCATCATCCAATGAATGGATAAACAAAATGTGGAATATCCATTAAATGGAATATCACTCAGCAAAGAAAGGAATGAAGCACCAACACCTGCCATCGCGTGGGTGAACCGCAAAACCATTACGCCAAGTGAAAGCAGCCAGACACAACAGGTCACATATAGTAGGATTCCATTTACATGAAATATCTAGAATAGACCAATCCATAGAAGCAGAAAGCAGATTAGTTGTTGCCGGGGCTGGGGTGGGGCTGGCAAGTGAGCACTGAAGGGTATGGGGTGTCTTTTGTGGGGTGATGAAAATATTCTAAAATTGGTTGTGGTGATAGTTGGGTAATTCTGTAAATATACTAAAAACTAATTGTATATATTTTTTAAAAGATTATTTATTTATTTATTTATTT